TGTAGTTCAGTCCTTCTTTTGGGGCATTCTGAGTATAGTAGGTATGGCTTTTTAGAAAGCATCCTGACTTTGTGAATATCTGAAGCAAATTTTCCAAGGGAGACCTACATTTCCCAGGACTCCTAAGCCCACTCCATATCAGAGAAGCAATCAAGTGATATTTCTGCTCCATTTTCCTTGATCCATGTTCTGAATTTTCTTCTGATTACATGCATATATATGTATTTATGTATGTATGTATATTTCAGATGTCTCTTGTATTAGCCCAGCTCTCTGTCTTAATAAATTAGCTTTCATAAGATTTTTTTTGGATTAGTTTTTCACAGATGTATAATACTTAACTGATTAGAAGGGGTAGGGTGAAACTAGAAATCCTGAATTATGGTGCAATAAGTAACACATGACAATCACTTTGAGACTTCTAACACTGCAGTTGGGAGACCTGGATTCTGACTTCAGAATCCTACTAGTTGCGGAACCTTGGACAGATTGCTTGATCTATCTGAGACTGCACTTTCCTCATCTATATAAATTAAGGTGTTGGACTACACAATCTCTGAGATCCCTTCCAGCCACAACATTCTATAACTCTAATTCACTGACCTCTTCTTCTTCTCCTTCTCCTTCCCCTTCTCCTCCTCCTCCTTTTTCTCCTCCTCCTCCTCTTCTTACTCATTCTTCTTCTTTATCTCTCTCTGTTCCCCTCTCCAAATACAGATAGATATTTCAATATAATCATTTTATAATCTTATATATTTTATTTCATGTATACTGAAACGTTATTCTGTGGTGTTTGTAAGAATCATCAGGCTGCCAAAAGTATCTGTTTCATGGATTCACACACACATACACACACACAGAATGAAAAATAAACACCCACTCAAAGGATTTTTGTCATTTGTAATGCCCTGGATAAACAATGTATTGTTATATTCAATATTTTGCAAAGGATGATCTGTGGAACTCTTTTGTTTTAAGTGACAAGAACAGGAACTCTTTGAGGAAAGTTTGAACTTACCAATGTTCCCCCCATGCATTAATCAAATATTCAAATGGTTCCGTGATTTCCTCAAGGTGAGTGTTCCCTCCTGTGATGCTCTTGCATCATCTATGCCTGTCCATCATCCTATGGGACTCTTGTCCATATCCTCCTCTCAGTTCACCCCAGAGAGTCCATCAAACATTCTGGGAATCATACTCACTTCCTCTTAAAATTTCAAGAATAATGGTGGAGTATGTGGGCTACCTATTGGCTGCTCCTCACTCCCACACACCTTTTTTTTAATTAGACTTTTCTTTCTTTTCTCTATTCCAGGTCTCTTTCATAATTCTTCATTTGTTATATGTTGAAGCCAGAGAATATCCACCATATTTATGTACACAGAAAAAAGACAATACACATAAATCTTTAGTATGAAAATAGGTATAATTTCCATAGAGTCCCCAGTTTTCCTTTATCCTGTCAGTATTCCAAACCCCTAGACCCCCCCCCAAATTGGCATGGATGAGTTTTGCCAATACATTTCAAGGCCAAAAGTATTCTGTGGCCAAACGATCTGAATAAATGCTGCTGCACAATATCAAGAATTCCTTCACATTGTCTCATGTCTTATTGATGGAATTATATCTATGTCCGATATAATGGCATTACACAGGAGTTCTCTCATCATCTCAAAGTACTCTACAGCTATTAGCTATATTTCTACTTACACTTTCTTTTTTTTAATTTTTAAATTTTTTTTTAATTTGGTTACTTACACTTTCCAACGAGTAACATCACAATCCTAGGAGAGACTTGCCTACGATCACATAAGTATAAGTAGCAAATCCAGGATTTGAACCCAGGTCCTCTGACTCCAAGTTCAGTACTTATCACCGGACAAGGGGTCCTCTTCCTCGGGCCCAGTTGCCACTTCCTTTACCCTTTGATCATCAGGAGTTTGGCCCTTCCTCTATCATAGGCCTATCCCTGACCAGCCCTTGAGAAATCTGTTCTTGAGATAACATCCCCATCTTCTTATTGGCTTCTTCCCTCCTCTAAGAGGCCATGAGGTCCTAAATCTTTAATATTTATTAGACTATATTTTCCCTTTAATCTTCATTGCCCCCAAAGTCAAGTTCCAAACAGGTGCAGGATGTCCATATCTCTACTTCTGTTTAAGGTATCCTAGAACCCAACATCACTAACCCTTGGATCTACTATCCCCTTGACAGGAAACTATCTACCCTGCCACTATTCCCCAAGATCCTGAGGGCCTTGCCATCTGTGCTGCTACTTTTTTTGTTTTGTTTTGTTTTGTTTTGGCATGTCAATGGGGGTTAAGTGACTTAGCAAAGGTCACACAGCTAGTGAGTATCACGTGTCTAAGGCCAGATGTGGACTCAGGTCCTCCTGACTCAAGGGCCGGTGCTGTATCCAACGCACCACCTCAATGCCCCCACGGCATCTGTGCTGCTGCTTAATCTGCCTAAGAACTACCTTCTCATCTGCCAGACTTAACACGATCATAAACTTCCTTTGTATATCATCTCCCCCAATTAAAGCGTGAGCCCCTTGGAAGGAGGAAATGCTTTGTTTTTTGTTTTTTGGTTTTTTTGCATCCCTGGAGCCTAAGATTGTACTTTGCACAAAGTTAAGAGCTCAGTAAACGCTTTTCCATTATGTTAGCCATGAGTTAGCCCCTTAGCACTGAGAAGAGTAGAGAAGTCCCAACCTCTGTATGCTCTGGCTTACTATTAAAAGCCTTGTTCTCAAAGGACTTGGTCACGAAGGCATACTGTACTGGGCAACCAGCTTAGTTGCTGTAAACACAGTCCTGCTTAGAGAAACTGTATTAAATGCATGAGAGGCAGCCTCTAGTGGATAGAGAATTTACCTTGAAGTCAAGAAGATCTGGGTTCAAGTCCTTCTCCAATTTAGATTCACACCGAATTTGTGAGAAAGTTTGTCTCCTTTGAGGAGAGCCTTCTAGGTGATAGTATTTGGGGAAGACACATTGTAAATCTCCATCTATCACTATATTCTCATGAATATAGTTAAGTGCATCTGTATCTTTTTTCAGTGGCCTTAAGACAGGAAGTTGACAATGCTCCAAATCTACTTGGGTCTTTGCCCCCTCCTCCTTAGAATAAACCCCTCAATACCACTTGAGGGATTGTTAAGGGGGAAGCAGCTTCTACTTGATCAAATATGGCCCGAGTGCCAATGAGGCAGAGACACTTCCTGGAAAGCTCCCGAGAACATTCTGTTTCCCAATAATGCTCGGCTTTGTCCTGCTTCAGCCTCCCTCCTGGGTCACCCTGCTTTCGCGGCCTGTGCATGGTTGTGAGAGAGAGCTTCCCTTCTGTTCCTGCTGCTCATTCTCCCTCTTGGAGACATGCTCTTCAATCGGAGGATTCGAGGTGTTGCTGTGGAGGGGATTATGGAGCAATTGACATAGAATTATGACTTTTGGTGAGGGAGAAAGCAGCAGGGGGAGATGAAAGTGGGAACAAAACAGCTCCTGTTTTCATGTAAATTTTACTAGCCCTCAAAAAAAGAGAAAAGAATACATAACACACAACACACACACACACACACACACACACACACACACACACACCCTATCCCTCAGCCTCCCCAGAAAACGAATATGAGATTTTGGAGGATTTATTTGTTAAAGTTTGCAAGACCCTTCAAACAGCTGTTGAAAGGATATTGAATTTTTCAGGACATGGGCTGGGGTGGAGGAGGTGGGGGGATAACATGTGAAAAAGAGTGAAAGGAATTATTGAGGAGACCTAATGAAATGTTTGCAGGGGAAGAACCTGGCCGGGACACAGGGGAAGGCTGCAGGGTTAGTGATCAGGGTTACTGTGTGAGGCCTGCTTGGGGCATTTCTGTGATACACTCTTCCACTGTGAGGGCCTTTGGACTTTGGGTGTTTCTGTTTCTAGGCCTCATGGGGAGCTGAGATGTCCTGCTTTTTGTAAAAAAGGCTTTGAAATCCTTGAGCAAAATGAGCTACAGATGTCCAAACTGTTTAAGCATAACTGAATTTTTTTCCATAGATGGTATTGTCAGCATATTCAACATAAAGATGCTATAAGAATGTTACCTTCTTTGACAAATGATACCTAGTATAGGTAAGTCATGTTTGGTTGTGACATTATGTAGTTTAGTGAATAAACAGCTGGCCTTAGAGTTCAAATCTAGCCTCAGACACTTACAACTTGTGTGACCCTGGGCAAATCACTTAACCCTGTTTGCCTCAGTTTCCCCATCTGCAAAATGAGATAGAGAAGGAAATGCCAAACCACTCTCGTATCTTTGCCAAGAAAACCCCAAAGGGGGTCATGAAGAGTTGGACATGACTGAAAAACAACTAAACAACAATTAGAGTCAGGAAGGCCTAGCTCTAAGTGTTGTCTCTTATATATAAAATAAATCTGTGACCATTTATCTTCTCCGTGCTTCAGTTTCCTCATATGTAGATTGAATATAATAGCACCAACCATTCACTAATATATGTGAAGAGCTTTGTAAATCTTGAATAACAGCTAGTAGGAGTTGTTATAATAATTGTAGACAGAGGAGGTAGGCAGGAGGAGGAGGAAAAGGGGGAGGAGAAGGACCAGATAGAAAAGGGGGAAGTGTTACATGGTACCACCAAAGAAGAGGGATGTCTGCTAAAAAAAAATTAGCTGTATGACCTCGGACAAGTCATATCAATTCTCAGTGCTCTGCAGGCTCCCTAAGACTTGCCAGTTCATACCACCCATTTTGTCTACCCACTCCCCCCTAAAAAGAAATAAGAAATATTGGGTTAGATGCAGGATCAGTAGTGGATATCATTATGGATTTTTAGCCTACTCAAAAGTTAAATTCTTCTTTTCCTATATGAACAATCAAATTATGAATATTTTTTGCTATAATCAAATATGAAAGCTTATATTCAGAAGTGTGGGATATACTCTTGTCCTTAATTAGTTTTGTTTTGTCTCTGTCATTTTCATCACAGAAATGATTGACCAGAAAGCCTTGTATCATTTCAATTTGACATCCATGCAAGATTCAGAAATGGTTCTTTCAGCCACATTCCACTTCTATTCCGATCGGAGACCTCGGTCCCGAGAAGTAATTTGCAAGCGTTTCAAGAACTCCTCCTGCCGCCTTCTACACCTGCAACCCCTCCCTCGTTTCCACCTGATATTCCGCAGTGTCCCACAGAATGCGGCTTTTGGGTTGGTCAAAGGTAATGTGACTATCTTCCCCCACCAACGAGGTGTTTGGCAAGCCAAGGATATTTCTCACATAATTAAGGAAGCTAAACAGGACGGGGAGCTTCTCCTCCTGGCTGAGCTCGATTCTGGGGAGAAGGACCAAGTCTTCCATGGCCCAGGACCAAACAACATGCCCTACATCCTTGTCTATGCTAACGATCTGGCAATCTCTGAGCCTAACAGTGTGGCAGTGACTCTCCAGAGGTATGACCCCTTCCCAACCAGTGACACTGACCCAAGCCGCTCGCCCAATGCCTCCACTGACTCTCGGGTAAGGAGGGACATTTATGTTCCCGGTTCCATCCATGACAATGAGCTTCCAGAGGTAGAATACAGTCTCCACCATCCCCATCACCTCCACCATCCTCATCACCTCAACACTATCATAAACACGACCTGTGGGAGAGTGCCTATAAGGCCCTAAAACCTAAATCACCCCGGAAAGACCGAAGGAAAAAGGGACAAGATCATCATGAAATGCTCACAAAATCTCAGATGCTGAATTTTGATGAGAAAACCATGAAAAAGGCCCGAAGAAAACAATGGAATGAGCCGCGAATTTGCTCACGGAGATACTTGAAAGTTGACTTTGCTGACATAGGGTGGAATGAATGGATCATATCGCCTAAATCATTTGATGCCTATTACTGTTCTGGGGCTGTGAGTTCCCCATGCCCAAGGTAGAGTGAGCTGTTGCTATTGTTGTTTGCTCTCAGAATTCCACTTCAGTGGGGTAGTGATCATAATTTATTACTGGATATAACTGAGTCAATTACACATTTTTCCCTACTATTGAACTCAAAACTAACAATGAAATCTTGTCTCTCTCTTGACTCTACACTAGTTCTAAATCAAGGAATGAATTCCCACTTTATCATCATATTTTCCACTCTGTATCCATCTGTTTTTCTCTCTGCTTTTCTCTCTTGCCTATGGGATATTTTTCCCTAGCACAGGCATTGCTGTTCCTTGTATAGTCCAGCTCAACGTCCTTCCAACAGAAGGTTTCCCATATTAACATATGACATTAGAGAGAAGTTTGGATGCTTCAGAAATACTAATGGCTCTGGTATAGAATTTGAATTTTCTAGTAAGCATATTTGTTTAACATAAAACTGAATATGGTTAGTCTTCCCTCATTACAGTGTGCTGCATGGCCTTAAGTCTAGCATAGGCAAGGAAATGAGAAATGCTTTATCTTAGCAGCACTGACGCTAATGGATTTCCTCAAGGTAACATATTCACCTAGTAGCAGAGGCTCGTACCTGCACTCACCACATAGGCTAATTTCTCTATGCCATTCTATTTCTTTAATGAGGCTAAGCAGCTGAGTTGTTTTCAAAGTATAATTACCCATATTATGGAAGATGGGGTACAGCTATGATCTTGTGATTCTGTTGGTATAGAAAACTTTCAGTAAGAATCCCACCTCAACCCCCCAATGCTGATTTGCAAGTGCTATGCAATTTATAGTCTCAGAGAGGCTCCTGGGATGCTGACTGGTTAAGTAACTTGCCCTGGGTCACACAGCTTATATGTGTGAGAGGCAGAACACGATTCCAGGTCATTCTGAATCAGAAGCTAGCTCCCTATTAATTACATAAGACCACCTCTCCATGTAAGAACTCACTTCTTTACTGGATGTCAAGTTGGGATTTGTTTCTAATTCATAGTTTTTCTGAGGCTTTTGGCAGAACAAAATGATTGTCTTATTACAGCCATGCACGAAATTACCTTGATTGATGAGGAAGTCATGATGGTGGGGTGAAGAACTCCATTTCTTTTGAAATTTACTAGCCTTCTAAGTCAATGGCCTAAGGCTGAATCTTCCCTCAGAACAATGAACCAGAGCTCTACCATTGATATATTTCTCTCTTCTCCTGTGAATTGTGCTTAGAAGTAACGCTGATGTCCTTAGGTGGTACCCAATCCTCCTCTCAAGACCAGCCACCTGTTACTTTAGCTTTAGGCTAGGTTTTGGTTACTAGAATTAAAAGGATGTTAGAGGTAAAAGCAGCCAGAGGGGTCATCTAGTCCAAGCCCCTTATTTTAAAGATGAAAGCTGAGACCCACAGACATTAAGTGACTTGTCCCAGATAATACAGGTATTAAATGGCAGGTTTGGGATTCCAGCCCAGGGCTTCTGTCTCCTAAGCCCTGTCCTCTTTCTACCTGGCCGTGCTGTCTCTGGCACATATTAGCTATCTGCTAGGGCCCTATACTAGTGAACATTCCAGAACTAATGACCATTCAGGTACCTTCCAATTCTGAACTTTCATGACTTAGATATGAGGCGGAATGGTGTAGTGGACTTGATATCCCACGTCCTGAGTCCAAATCCCAGCTCTGCCACTGACTACCTTCGTGACTTTGGGCAAATCACTTTGCCTCTGGGGCCTCAGTTTCCTCACCTGTAAAATGAAGGGGTTGGGCCAGATGATCTCTGAGGTCCCTTCCAGCTCTAGATTTATAATCTTATATTTCCATGATCCTAAATGCCTAATTTATAAGGAAAGAGGAACTCAGCTACTCTGAGGCATTTGTATCAGAGCAAGCAATTAGCAGTCATTTATTAAGTTCCTTTTATGTTCTAGGCACTCTGCTAGGCACTAGGGATAAAATACAAAAAATGCAATCCCTAGAATGAATCATAGGATTGTGAGGGGGAAACTCTATATCAATGTGACTCTCTATATAAATTAGTACTGCCATGTGACCTTGGATGAGTGAATTAACTTCTCTGGAGGTCTCATTGGTCAAATTATGAATCTCAATTAGGTCCTTAGAAAAAACTCTCTCCTTCCCAGTTTTGTGTCACATCAATGAGGGCCAAATATGCACCAGTGAATGATTTTGCTGTTCTCCTATTTTCATACTTCTGGATATCCCTAGATGCATGTTTTCTATAAAAATCCATGACAATTTTGAGTCAGAAAGATACATAGGGGTGGATAGTAATCTCAGGATTCACAAAATATTTACAGAGGGTTGAGGATAAGCAGGGTAGGACTGGTGGAAAGTTGGATGAGAGGGAAAGGGAAAAATGAAATAGGGGCAAGTATGTCTTTGAAAATAGTCATCAGCAGTGGAAAGAATTCAAGAATTAGAATCTTGAGTATGATGTCAGAAAAATCACTTTGCCTTCCTGGCCCTTGGTTTCCTCATCTGTAAAATGAGTGGGTTGGATTAGATGATCTCTAGGGCTCCTTCCAGGCATAAGTCTATGGAAGAATAAAGCATTAAAATTTGGTAAGGATGAGAGGGAAACCAGGGTAAGAAAGATAATCTGGGAGAATTTGGAGGGGCTCAGGTCACTTGGAGCAGAGTGTAGGAGTGATAGAATGCTGTGTTCCAAGTGGTTTTTCAGAGGTAGGATTCTGAATGTGTCTTGGTAAGTGGCATTTGCTGCTCTTTCCATCAACTCTCAGGAGCAGTACTTTGGGCCTGTTAGAGGATAAGTTCTAACCCATCAGAGCAGTTTCAAAATTACAGTTCTCTTACCAAGTCACAATTCCTGGTGAGAGGAAATAACATTTCCAGGCCCCCATAAGCATTAAGTGGGAATGTTATGCCATTTGTTTGTAGGGGCAGCCCAGCCTGCATACTAATGGGAGCATACAAAATTCCAAACAGGCTTTCCCAACATCCTCTTGGGCACATCAATAATAGTTAACATTTATATAATGTTTTAAAGTTTGCAAAATGCTTTGCATGGCTTATTTCCTTTGGTTCTCACAACAACTCAGTGTGATAGGTGCAATTATTATGCCCATTAAGCATGTTCATCAAATATTTATTAAGCACCTACTATGTGCAGCATACTGTATATAATCTATGCTGTCTTTGGTATACAGAGAAGATTCTACTGGGACTTGAAACTACGGTAGAGTATACACATTAAAGAAAAGAACATGGTGTCCAGGAAGGAACAGTGGTCTAGGAGTCCTATGACCTGGATTCTAGTCCTTATTTAACCAATTCACTGTGTGATTTGCAGCAAATTACCACCCCTAGCTGGGCCTCAGTCTCCTCATCTGTAAAATGAGAGGTTATATTAGATGATCTTTAAAGCCCCCTTTTTTTCCCCAGTTCTATTTATTGTCCTGGCCCCTCTCCCCCCCAAGCAGAAACAAAGGATGAGCCCACAAAGCCACACTCTTGTCTACTCACCTTCGTGACTAGTAGCATGCATTCATTCTCAAAAAGGCTACATAAAGTTAGAGGTGGAATTTTGGGCCATGCAATGAAATAAAGCCAAGATGGCCATGTAGAAACCAAACTTTGAGAGCTTTTTTGTTTTGGTTTTCCTAGTTAGAGGAGTTGATTTATGCTGGTCTGCTCACACTGTCTTGCCTGATAATTACAAGATGGTAGATCAAGGTTAGGTTTCTTTGGGTGTGTCTTAGTTGTTGCAATCTCCTGGGACCATTCATTAATTTGGTACCTTCTTCTCAACCCTCACCCTGACTTTTTATTAGCTTTTTTCAGTCTGTATAGCCTTTAAAAGCTAGAGAATGGTTTGTTCTATCTAAATCTACTTTGTAGTTGTAGTGAAGGAGGAAGAAGCGCAGGAGCAGGGTTGGGAGGGGAGGGATAGAGATAGGAATTGGTGAAATAGCTAAATCTCCAAAAAAAACCTCTCCCTGATGATAGGATAGTTAGAGCTAGAAGGTGAACATGTGGTTTCTATATCAGAAAAATCAGCTTCTCTCAATAGGCTCGGATGAGTGTAATTCTGTTCTGGGAGTTCTCATTGCTCCTCAGTGGCAAAACCAAGCCTACTCATCCTCAAGAGAGGAGGCATTTTAGAGCCCTGATCACCTCCTGTCCTTTATCAGGAAAATAGTTCTTCTTCCCTGCCCAAGCTAAACATTCCCTTCTCTAAGAAAAAGCCACAAAACTTACCCTTGGCTTTGGCTGTAGAGACCAAGCCACAGTGGGGTCAAAACCACGGCCATGTGAGCAAAACCAGGGGTAAATTATGGGGTGACAGGCATGGAGGTTTTAATGTTTGACTGTTCTCAAGGTTTGCAGACTGACTCCTTAGCCTGGGAGGACAGTAAGTCAGTTAATACGAAAAGTGTGTGGCTTCATTGATTTTACAGCTCATAAATATTCTTGAGATCTTTTTTTTTTCAGTTTTAGAAAGAAAATGTTACTTGACAGACATTAGCCTCATTCAAATTTTCATCTAAAGCACAAAATGTAATCAATACTGAAAACTACTTATAATCAATGAATCTAGTATAATGTAAAGTTGGTTTTCTCTTACTTCTCAATGATAATAATAACTAATAATTACATAGCACTTACTGAGCATTTTACACTTGTATCTCATTTAATCCTTACAACAATCCTTGGGGAATGGGGTGGGGGGAGAGATGCTATTATTATCTCCATCTGATAGATGAGTAAACTAAGGCAATATAAGGTTAAGTGACTTGCCCAGGGTCACATAGCTAGTAAGTTGCTGAAGTCAAATTCGAACTCAGGTCTTCCTGAGCCCAGGTCCAACTAGCTGTCCCATCTTAAAACACACTCTCATTGAATCCATCAACCAATCTGGAGTGGTAATTATGTGTCCAGTACTAGGCTAGGTGCTAATATAATCACTTTGTTGTTTTGTTTTGTTTTGTTTTGTTTTTTAAGAGGTAATGAGCATTTATATAGCACTTAATATGTGCCAGGAACTGCACTAAGCACTTTATAAACATTATTTCATTTGGTCCCCACAATAATCCTGTGAGGTAGGTGGTATTATTATCCCCTTTCTGTACCGATGAGGAAACTGAGGTAAGCCGAGGTTAAGTGACTTGAGCAAGGGCCTCACAGCTATTAAGTGTCTGAGGTCAAATTTGAACTCAGGTTGTCCTGACTTCAGGCCCAGCACTCTATCCACTGCAATACTTAGCTGTCTTAGCACAGAACCTAGACCATAATAAGAGCTTATAAATGTTTATCGATTGATTGCTTTCTTTAAAATTAACATTTTATTGATTTTTTTTTGTTTTATGCCATTGTCACTTTCCATTGACTCTATGACCCCCCAATCATTTTCTCTTGTCCCAATAAAGTATGGTGATGCAAAACAGATCAATGCATTTGCACATATAGCCTTCATTTCACTTTTGTGGTGTGCCCCATTTCTGCCGATGTAAAGATGGCATTTTTCACTGTTCTTTTCTCTGAAGTCACGACTGGTTGCTGCATTGATTTCACTTCCAATGTCTTTCCATGTCATTTTCCATGGCATTATTGAAATTCACTAACTTTCTAACTCTATTCCTCCAATTTTCTAGGGTGTTCCCAAAGACTTAATATGGTTTTATATGTGTTTATATATATATATATATACACACACACACATACATGCACACACATGTGTGTATATGCATGCATACATGTAAATATACATGTGTGCATTTATACATATCTGCACACATACATAATATAAATATATATAACAATGCAATTTTATAAAATGCAGTTTATATAAGCTTTAATAACTTCAGAAGTACAAATGCTATGAACTTACAAAAATATCTTTTGAAAGTTTAATTACTGAGATTTATGTGATGCACTTCATTTTGTGAATTGTGACTAAGAAAATTTTAAATTGAACAAGGTAAGGCACCTTGTCATTATACATTGTGCATGCAATAGTTTAGATGATACTTTCTCAGACAAGCAGAGGTGATCCTCTGGCTCGATCACCTTGATCACCAGATCTGTCTCTATTAGACCTTTTCTCATGGGATTATAGCAAAACTGCCACGTATGCATCAAAATCTTCTCCTCTGGATGATTTTAAGATTAGAATTATAAACATAGCTCTTTCAAATCACTGAGCAGAAGCTGAAAGATTTTGTGAAGTTTGACCATTGAATAGAGCTATGTATAGTACAAGATGGTGGTTATGAGGAATTTTAATAGGAAACATATTGCTATTTTAAATTTTTAAATAATTAACCTTTCAAATGTTTTTAAAATTTTGCAGCCTTTATGCTTCTGACGTTTTTAAAGTTTGCAAATACACTAAGACTTTTGGGACACCCTGTATTACTTGTCACTCATTTCTTCTGTCAATCTTAAGCCAATCTGGCCATGATTGTAGGTGAAAATGAATAACACTCTTTCTTTTGCCTCTTTCTAGATTGTGCGACCATCAAACCATGCCACAATCCAGAGCATTGTAAAAGCAGTGGGGATCATTCCAGGCATTCCAGAGCCCTGCTGTGTTCCTGATAAAATGAACTCCCTCAGCGTACTGTTCTTGGATGAGAATAGAAACGTGGTACTAAAGGTGTATCCCAACATGTCAGTGGAGACTTGTGCCTGCCGATAAGTCTCTGGGATGGACTTCTGTTTAAAAAGAAGAAGAGAAGAGAAGAAGAGAGAAGAGAAAAGAAAAGGAAAAAGAAAAGAAAAGAAAAGAAAAGAAAGGAAAGGAAAAGAAAAGAAAAGAAAAGAAAAGAAAAGAAAAAGAAAAGAAAAGAAAAGAAAAGAAAAGAAAAGAAAAGAAAAGAAAAGAAAAGAAAAGAAAAGAAAAGAAAAGAAAGACAAGACAAGAAAAGAAAAAAGGCAGAAAGGAAGGAAAAGAGACCCCATCTGATCACAGAACCAGCATACGCTGGGGACTTTGAGTCATGGAAATGAGTCCAGTTGTATTGTTGATTCTGTTTATGTCAGTAAACACACACACAGACACACGCAGAGGAAAAACAACCCCAGGAGGCAGGAGAAGGAGCTCTTCATTCTTTTGGAGAGTTTTTTAAATAACTAATTACAGCCCCTTAAGGTCAAAACTTCAGTTCATTACACCCAGTCAACGGGCCTTCCCAAAGGCCTTCTACTCTCTATTTACTCAGAGCTTGCCACCATCATTACGGTAACTTTTCATCAAGACACCCCGAGATCATTCCTGTGCCTTTTTATGTTATCATCTCATAACTTGGGAAGTGGGCTTCATACACTCCAGCCTATTGATTCCCTACAAAAACATTTTTGTTTAAAACACCTGCCTTTTAATATACATATTTATATTGAAAAAAAAGGCTGTAATAAAGGGCTTAAATGTATATTTTCTTTGAGATTCAAATGTAGTGCACTGTATAAGCTTTTATACATTACTATATATACAGTATGTTAATATAACCAATTTTTGGTTATTTTCTCCTAATATATATTTTATTTTGCGAAAGAAGAGGGTACTCCAGTGTACCTGCAGATGTGTAAGTTGCTGGGTTAATTTTGAGTTGTCGAGACACACATATTCTTGAAATAACACACATAGTAATATGTTTAAATACTAAAATGAAATAACCAAGATTTTATATTTTTGTAAATTATACTTTCTATACTATAGAATATGTTATAAGTGCTTTTTACTGAAAGCTAATAAATTAAAGTACAGTTGTATCTTTTTAAAATGGTATAATTCTGTTCTTTCCTTCTTTCATTAATTAACTCCATAAATCAAATATTTACTATATGTAATGCTCTTGGGAGGATATAAAGATATAGAAAGTACTGGCCCTACTTGTAGCTCTCTAGCTGGGGAAATGAGAAAGGTATATACAGAAATATAGTACAGGAAAAGGAAATGATGAGTGACATATAAATGACAGAAACAACTTGTTCTCTAAGATGACTTTTCCAGTTCTATACTTTTGATCCTACACAACTTGTTAGGAAAAGTTTCCTTAACAATCCATTAAATTGTCCATTCTACTGATCTGGAGAAAAATAAAGTTTGGGGACTGCCTGTATCCCAGCATCTATTCATTCAAACAGATGGTATTCCAGGACCTCTGTTGTCCCTTCTCAGGGCCATGTCCTGAGCTCTGCCCTGTACCCGCCAACTCCGTAAATCCTGAAATCAAATGTCTTCTCACCAGATGTTCAATGGTGTTTGCCCTGAGCGCCAGAATTCACAGTTTTAGCCCATGGTAGAAGCAAAACATAATTTTGCAGCATTTAGGATTAAAACCATCAGGTTCTATTAGTAGACAAGCAGCTATAAAACACCTGCTGCCAGGTGCTGTCCTAGGAGCTCAGGATACAAAGGCAAGAATGAAACAGCCCTTTCCCTTGAGGAGCTTACATTCTTATATGCACAATCCCAGTGAAAGAGGCAGGAAGTGTTATCTACCCAAGTGGTGTATCTGGAGAAAAAAGAAGAGTATGAAAGAAACGGAGAAATTGTATTTGTCTAATTATGTAATTTGGATGGGGGCTGTGCAGTTCAAGCAGATTGGGGTCAGGTGAGAAAAGGAATATAGATCAGTAGAAGGAGCAACTTTGTTTCCAGTTTTAATTATGAATGTGTGTTAAAATATAAATGTACCCAGATACAAGGATACAAAGATACGTCATCACACATAGAGTGTGTCCCTCATCCTTACTTACTGAGAGTCCCCAAGGATCCCACTTAGCTCTGATGATAGCTCACAGCTTCTGATTTAAGATTATGAGCCAAATCCATTTCTTTTCCACTTTTGTTTCTAATCAAAATTTAAAAAAAAAACTGATGAGAAAGTGTGGTATCGTGCAAAAAAAAATCCACCATCTTTGGAGTCATGTGGCATGGGTTCAAATCCCAACACTGCCATGCCACCTGTGTGACCTTGAGTATGTTATTTTATTTCTTTAGGTCTCAACGTCCTCATCTATAAATAATGTCTAGCATTTATATAGCACCTTAAGGTTTGCAAAGCATTTTACATACATTAACTCATCTGATCCTCACAACAACCCCAAGAGGTGGGTGTTGTTATTATCCCCATTTTAGAGATAAGGAAATTGAGTCACATAGAGATTAAGTGTCTTGCCCAAGGTAACACAGCTAGCGTCTATACAGATGCTATACAGACAGGATTCTAACTCAGGTCTTCTCAACTCCAAGTGATGCCCTATGCCTCCTAGCTGCCTTTGGAGGCCTGTTCCAACTCTAAAGATGTGATTACGTGATTGAATATTGACTTTCCCCTATCCTCTTCATACGTCACTGAATTCATTGACTTTTTACTGTAGTCAAAAATGTTCACCTCTTTCTTTGCTGTCATTTTTCTTTTATAGCATCTTCCTCTATATAATAAAAGGGTTAGACTAGAGGGCCTCAAAGATCCTTCCAATCTACATACAATCTATAAACTATGAAGTATCCTTTTACCTCATCCACAAAAGTCCTTCTGTGATACCTTAGTATGACATGGGGACAATGCTAAGTATTCTAAGGCTATACCAATGGAGTGAAAATACTTTCAAATCCTAACAGCAGGAAAGCATTCAAGTATGGACACTGTGATAGCTAATAATCATAAAAGCATAGAATCAAAGATTTAGCACCTTAGACATCGCCTGGTCCAATATGCATCTGAGTATGAATCTCTGACAAGTGGTCATGAGGCCATTGTTCTAAGATTTCCAGCAGTGGGGAATTCCTTCACCCTGATACAATTGATCTCACTTTAGGCCAGCTCTAATTTCCTTTTTTTTTTTTAGGTATTTCTTATGTCAAGTCAAAATCTGCCTCTTTGAAATGTTTACCTAGTCCTGCTCTCTGAAACTAAACAAAGCAACTATAATCCTATTTTTCCAAACGACAAGCTAGCAAATACTTGAAGACAGCTACCAGGTCTCCTCTAAGTTTCCTCTTTTCCAGGCTAACCATCCTCAGTTCCTCCAACCTGCTATTGGTAGGCATCATTTCTAGTTCCTTCAACATCTCTGTTACTGTCTCTTAGCTGTGCTCTACTTTATCAGTGTCTTACCTAAGATGGGGTATACAGAAATAGGTATAACGCTCATGAGGCAGCTGGGTAGCACATTGGACAAAGTGTGGATCTGGATTCAGGAAGACTTGTGTTCAAATTTGGCCTCAGACGCTTAATAACCGTGTGACCCTGGGCAAGTCACTTAACCTCTCTGTGCCTCAGTTTCTTTATCTGTATAATTCGGATAATAATATCACCTGCTTCTCAAGGTTGTTCTGAAGATCAGATATTTGTGAAGTGCTTTGAAAATCTTAAAGTGCTATATAAATGCTAACTATTTGACCAGAGCAAAGGATAGTAAGAGTATTCACCCCCCAATTTTATGCACTATATTTCTGCTAACTTAGCCAAAGAACTGTAGCTTTCTTGGCTGTGATGTCACACTATTGACGTTGTCTTACAATCTACTAAAACCCCAAATTTATTGTTCAGATGAATTGTCATTTATATCTGTGCTTCTATAATTTTGTAGTGGTGTAATTGATTTTTTTTTTAAAGATAGGACTTTACATTAAAGGCCTGATGGTGCAGTGATAACATTGCCAAACTTGGAATTAGGAGAGATCTATGTTCAAATCCTGCTTCTGACACTAAGCTGGGGAACAGTTTAGTGGGACAACTAGCCCACTTAAACTCTCTTTGTTTCAAGGAACTCCTCTGGACTTATCTATTAAATCATCAGTCTTGAATCCACATTCAGAGTCCTCCCATGGAAGAAATCCCACACTATTGCATATTTGCATAATAATAACCCTAGTGCTTAGCTCCCTGGGGTTATTGTGAGGATCAAAAGATGAATTTAAAGGATGACAAAGATGTTAGTTATCTATCCCTTTAAAATTTCATCCCATTAGAGTCAAAAAATTTGTCTTGGCCTGTTGAGATCATTTTTGAATCTTAATTCTGTCATTCAGTGATTTGGCTGTCCCTTCCAGATTTATGCCCTCTGCATTTTTTATAAGCATGCTATCTACAAAAGCATGATTATCATTGACAAAAAAATGTTGAACAAAGCAAAGGACAGAGCCCTGTGGAACTTGCTGAGAGCCTTCCTTAAACATCAATGTTAGTCCATTAATCATTCCTCTTAGGCCCTAGTTGTGCAAACAGCTGCGACCATACTTAAGCATAATGCCACTCAGCCTACCTCATCTTGATTGCAAGGTTACCTAAGAGCTTTTGTCAATGCTTTGGATGAAAACCAGGTATATGATTTCTATAGCACTATCTCGAGTATAGTGCCAGCACAAAGTCGGTGCTTAAAAAATGTCTGTCGCAATGTCAGTCTAATTACCCTGTCAAAAAAGGAAATGAGGATCATTGGGCATGACTTGTTTTTTGTTTAATTTTGTTTTCTTAAAATTTTGTCTCCCCCCCCATTACGTGTTAAATCACTTTTATGCCTTGTTTTTTTGAAGAAGCTTTTCATTCTTGCCATGTGCCTTTCTAAGTGCTCACAAACTTCCCCTTTAATGATGAAAAACCCCTGTGCTTCTTCAGGCAGATTTTTCCTTTGCATTTCTCTGGTTTCCACCCACACCTGCGCACTCTGGGGAGTTGAAACAGGGTGCTGAGAGGAAGTAACTGGAACTACAAAATGACGGGAATGCCATTAATTGTTGTGTTGAGCTGGGGCTTCAAACCACAGCCTGTAAA